TAAATTAATTTAACGATGGTTAATGAACGGCGCATTAATGAAAGGTGGTGCTCGTAATTAGACTCATTTCTCTCGGTTTAGAAAACTCGGAATTACATGATTTTTACAGCGTTTGAAAGGCCAGACACAGACGAGCTTTATCTAGTTCAATAATGTTTTCTTTAAACTCTTAGTTTTATGCAAATTTTTTTTAATTGTCATTTTTGCCACAAAGCCGAGTTATCTGGTTCATTATTTCAGGGTTTACCAATTAAAATTAAAAATAATATAAACAATTAAAAATAACCATATGCGTAAAAATTCCATTTTTTACTTAGCTTTCGAATGCAGTAAAAATCACTTCGATCCGAGTTTCCCACGCCGAGATATGATTTTTTTTATGTTTGCCGGGTAGAAATCCCAAAATTTTGCTTGAACCCACTTCCTCCTTGCCGTCGCGTTGATTGTCGTCATTGGTCGTCTCCAGGCGGCAGTAGGAGGTCTTGTTGGGATCGTCATCGTGGTCGCGGCTGTGGTTGTTGTCGTTGTACTCGTTGTAGTCGTTGTCGGGGCCGGTGCAGCACCCATTTTTCGGGCTTTGTCGAGGACGGCTTGGACGACTACCTGGAATTATTTCTCTCTCTCTCTCTCTCTCTCTCTCTCTCTCTCTTTCTCTCGTCTGTCTCTCTCTCTCGCCGTCTCTGGCTCTCTCCCTCTCCTTACCTTTATCCCATCCCACGTCTCCTTCCCTGTAGGTATCAATTGTCGTGGATCCAACAGAAACCCATCCCACACTGAAATTTGACGAAACTTGAAATCTGACCGAACTACCGTACCCTCATCAGCTGGTCGCAACTCCAGTAGATACACATATTTCACCCCGGCCACCCCTTTCGCCCAATCGTCCGAACCGCCGGAGGAGGGGTCTGAAAATGCTGAGTTCGCTCTAGCTCTCTCTCTCTCTCACTCTCTTTCTCTCTCTCTCTCGATCTCTCTGTCTCTCATTCTCCTTAACGGAACATGAAAGCCAAATCCTCCCAAAACCCACATAAAATGTCGGCTCCAGTTCCGAATCTGTACGCGGTACCGTAATCCCTTTCCAACGCTGCCACTCCATTGAGCCCAACTTCTCGCTAAAATTTTTCACAATTCAATAATTCGTCGGTTGATACCAAATCCTGAACGTCTTCCGGATAGGTTCGTACTTGGTTACTGTACGGGTGGATCCACATCTGAAAATTTCAGTTTTGTCACGTTAAAGACGATTTTTTTCAATTGACCTGTGCATAGGTGTGTAGCGTAATGAAGGCATCGGTGCGGCCCTTTAATTCTGGAGATAGTAGCATATCGCGAACAGCTCTGCAAATGGATTTTTCTGGCTTCAATGGTCCTTTAAAATGAGGATGGTTTGAATATACAGAACGTTTCTGCCTTCAACGGTCCTTTAAAACCACCAAAACCGACCTGGATTCCGGTTCACTGAATGCCGTATCACCCTGGTATACCTCGGAACAACGATCCGTCGACGAGCCAGATTCTGAAAAGTTAGAAGGAATTTTACGCCCTGTCACTCTCCCTTTAATGGACTAGCAGAGACCATTGGAGAATCATACAGTCCTGGATTTTCCTTTAAAAGGATATGCAGTCCATTGAAAAAAATTGGCCAAAAAGCAAAAAGTTTTGCACCGGGCGGGTGTCGAACCCTGACCGTCTGCCTGATAGGCAAGAACTTTACCATTTAGCTATGTTTTTTAGGAGCGATTTCGTTAAGCAAAGCTGCTGGCTCAACTGTCACGGTCCATTTAGAGGCATTAAATCTCTTACCAGCCCAATGAAAGTCGAAATTCCTGTTCAAATCGACGCCCCCACAGCATCTCTCCCGAAACCATCGATCCAATTTGCATCTAATGCCTCCTCTATTCTTTCTCCATAGCCGATGCTGAAATAGAGGAAAGTCGACTTTGTCAATCGAAAGACCTCACACCATCGGAGTTATATCATCTCGAGAGAATTCATATCCATCTGGATTCACGACTGGCAGAAGGTAGAACTGGAGACCGTCCACAAATTGACGCGTTTCAGAGTCGGTTTCGTATGTTGAGATCAGCTGTAAAAGCGGATTTTAAAGAGGATGCGACAGGTGGAAATTTAGCATTGTTGCTGGCACATCCCTGAAAGCTACAAGCAAGGCATTTCTATGGGTTCTGCCTTGAGAAACCCTTGAAACCAAAAATTGGTCTAACGTTTTCATACTTGGTTTTAAAGGGCACATTGTTGTCATACTTTTATAGGGAACGCGACAGGAAGAAAAACCTGATTCTGGTTCGTTAGCGGGGGGAGACCACGCCCGATCCATTTTCCCTTTACCAGGCATATTGGGCGCTATTTGGGAGTACCCGATATCCCCCCGCTAATGCATCAGAACCATAAAATCTTTCCTCATTGCTGATACTAGCCCTTTAAAGAGAGCGAGAGAGCGAGCTATAAATGCGATGCTCTGGATGTTACCATCCCTTTAAAGGGCCGACAATAAATTTCTATGGAAATTACTATTATTTTTCCTGAGCCAGCGGTTTTAAAGTGAGCATGACAGGCAAAACTCGTCTTCCTTCGCTTTTCCGGGGTGATATGGCACTCTTTTAAAGGGACCGACAAGCCCAAAACTGACCTGATTCACAAACCATAATACTGTATGAACGGCGGCCCATTCTCGGGCGTGAATTCCACCATCTATCCACACCGATCGTTTGGTAGCACTGTTGATTGGGTTGCCGATCTGAAGGTAGGGATAGAGAGAGAGAGAGAGAGAGAGAGAGAGAGAGAGTGCGAGAAAATTCATACCTTAATTCCCTTAATTGGTCGCCCTTCAGCTGATGTCCCAGCAATAAATGTCCTGGCAATGGCTGGATACGCATTTGCGACGTCATCCAAGTACTTCAGAATCGTCTCGTACGAATGGTAGTCGCCGAAACCGTACTGAAACGAAAAATTAGCATAATTATGGCTAGTTGCATATAATGCTAATTAGCTGATCAAAAATTCGATATTTACATATATTGCCGTCTAAAAAACGCTTTTCGCTTTTACCGCTCATTCACAATTTTCTACTCAATTATTTATCCCCCGCCGTCTTCTCTTCCTTTTTCTATCTTATTCCCTCACTGAGAGGGACGTCGCAATTTTTTTACTAAACAAAATCAAACGAAAGTGGGTTTATTTAGAGTTCACGGCCCTGGTAGAGCTCTAGGCTCCCAGGCTGGCTACCCGGGTTCGAGCCCCAGGCGCGGCTCAAAGTTTTGCTTTTTGAGAAAAGAGCGGGGAAGCTGATTTTTATTGTCGCTTCAGGACAAATGCCCGAGCCGCCGGCCAAAAAGGCCAAGTCGAACGCGACGCTGACCAAGTCGACCTTGTCGAAGACGCCGGAGAGGAAGTCGAAAGAATCGCCGGGAGGACCGAAGGGGACACCCGGGAAGAAGGCCAGGCCCAGGAGGGATGGTGGGAAATTTACATTTTTTAAAGGGATTGGCAACGCAAAGATCATGCTTTCCGACGCGCCGCGACACGCAACGCGCACGATATGGACGACAATAGAGGCGTAATCGAATACGTATTTGAAACGCAAAATTCTATAGCATAGCCATGCCTTGTCAGGTCCTTTAAAGAGAGGGCAAGGCTAGCAGAGAACGTTGAGGAAGCTAGATCGCTTAGCTAGGCCGCGACATCCAACGCGCCAGCCTTTTTTGGACGCCGTATAGCAGGGACTGTTTCCTAACGTATGGAGATGGCCCACCGTGGGGAAAAGACACTCTGCCCTGTTCCGATCCGATTCGCCTGTTGGTTCATTGGTTTTGTGTTTGCTTACCGCGCATAAGGCTCGGGTTCGACCCCCGGCCGTCACAAACCTTTTTGCTTTTTCACCAAGAGCTGGTAGTTGAATGTGTCTTTAACAAGGCAGGCTAACAGAAATCATTCGCGCTCAAAAATCCCCCATTTTCAGCAAACACAGTCCCCCGCACGTGGCTCCGGACGGGTACGGTGATTGTGACAGAGAAAGGGAAATATCGAGTGATCGGTCGATTGGGACAAGGAGGATTCGGAAGTGTCTATAAAATGGAAGAACAGAACACAAAGGCCGTTCTCGCAATGAAGACCGAATTCTACGATCTTGTCATGCCACTCACACGGCTTCATGTTGAGGCTGAGGTGTTGGGCAGGATCTCGAAGGTGAGCACGACGTCATGAAGGATCATTCATGCTCGTTTAGCTCGATCCATCGAAACGTCAACACTTCTTGAACTACATCGACAAGGGCCGCAGCAGCGTGCTTGACGTCAAGTTTCTGATGATGGAGATGTGCTCCCTATCGCTGTCGGATATTCGATACATCGTCGCCGAGGACAAGACGTTCAGGTCAGCAGCGTTATCATTAATGTGTTGTCGAGAACGGTAGCCCTGTACTGAACTGCTTGCTGACGCGTACGATTTCAGCGCGACTTTTTCAGCAAGTCGACCATCCTGCAAGCTGGCAAACAAACGATGCAAGGGATCTGGGATCTGCATGAAGTGGGCTTTGTCCATCGAGATCTGAAGCCGGGGAATTGTGCCGTCGGGCTGGGCGACAAGGACAAGATCATCTACTTGCTCGATTTTGGCATTGGAAGGGCGTTGAGGACGGCCAGTGGACAGATGAGGTGCAAATTTCGGGACTGTTCTCTTAGCGGGCGGCGGCCCAAAAAATTTGGAGTTTTTGATCGAAATCGGTTCTAGTTCATTAGCGGGGGGTGAGTTCGTGACCTCCCATATTCGTCCCTCCCCCCGCTAACGCACAAGACCCTAAAATTGTAGAAATGCGTGAAAAATGACTAAAAATCTAAATTTTTCAAAATTTTCCTAGCAATTAAAACTTGCAAGATACGCAATAATCAAAACACACTAAATAACAACAAAAAGCGTAAATATAAAGATTAGACCCCCTCCCCCCGTTAACAGCCTAGTACCATTTTTGCAGAAAACCACGACCCCAAGCCCCATTTGTGGGCACTTGTCACTATTGTTCGGTGGATATTCTGTCGGGCAAAGATGCCTCGTGGAAAGATGATATCGAGGTGAGACAGTCCCTTTAAAACCCGTGAACTTGTTGAAGTCGTGGCTGTACATGATGATGGATCTGTGGGACTCGAAAATGATGCCCCTGGTGATGAATATGAAAGACAGAAGGGGCGCCACGCTCACGGCAAAGAAGAAATTCTGGAAGGAAAAGAGTGGGGGCCTGCCTTCAATGGGCCTTTAAAATGGTTTTTTAGACTGGAAGAACGGGTTTCCGGAAGTGCTCTCCGGACTGTACGCCTCGTTGAATCAGCTGAAATGGGGCGAAACGCCCGATTACAAACTGATTATGGTAAGCTTGCACTTTTCCATTATCGGGGGTGGGAGACCTTGATCAGGGGGGAGCACCTTTTCTCTTAAAATCAGTTTTTTTTCTGATTAAAATGGTGTTTTTAAACTGATTTTACGATGAAGATGCGCGAAAAACTTTTAGATTTTCGTTTTGTCGCTATTTTTACATTCCGAAATGCAAAAATACGACTTTTTCACGCTTACGCCCAAGAATATCGACCATTAGCCAAAATTTCGAAGTTAAACCTCAAAAATTTTTTAGTTTTTCTTGAAATAAAGTTAAATTTTGCGGAAAATGTTATTCATATACCTAGCGTATTTGAATTTCTGGTTATTAAGACAAAAAATAAACTCCCCGATAATGCAAAAGCACCAAAAAATGTAGATTTCTCAACATGACACTACTGACGGTACGATCTGGACCGAAAAAATCGGTTTTCCTCCCTCACCGATATTGCAAAAGTACCGAAAACCGAAAACTTTTTCAGGCCGGAATCGACAAAGTAGCGGAGGAGTTGAAGGTGAACCTGTCGGACCCGTTGGATTGGGTGGGAAAGATTGAAGAAAAGAAGAAAAAGGCCCAAATCGAAAAGAAGAAGAAGGACGCCGAGATGAAGAAGGTCAAAGCTGCCGAAGAAGCCGAAGAAAAAGAGCGAAAGAAAGAGAGGGAAGAGAGAGAGAAAGAGCAGGACAAAGACAGAGAAGAAGCCCTGAAGATTGCCAATGAGGATGATGCGGCGGATCCCGAGGAGGAGGATGACCCATTTGCGTACGTTTATTAAACGGTTCTTTGGCATTATCGGTGGGAGAAAAACCTATTTTTTTCTGAATTCCAAACTCTTTTTTACTATTTCGAAAAGTCATAATTTTTCTTTTAAAAACGGCAAAAAATCACAATTTTTCGACCTAAAATAGCAGCTTTTCGACCAAAATGTCAAAATGTCGAAATTTTTACGAGTTTTTTTGAAGGTTTTTCGACGTAAATTTTGATAGATTTTACTAAAAACACTATTAAAGCTATTATACATTTTTATCTCATTTTTCAGGAAGCTGAAACGCGTCCCGTCGAAGCACCGAACCACTTAATTCCCCCCGCGGCCAATTAATTGCGTTTTGAATAAAGCTATTTGATTTTTTTGATCGATTACACCATGCTATGATTTTCGGTATTGTTAGACTTCACGTTTTTAAACGTTTAAAATGTCATTTTCGATAATTTAGATGTTTAAAATCGCACTTTTCCCGGGTCGGCGGCTTTAAAATTTCATAATCAGGATACAGAAGTTAAAGAAGAAAAATTTCTATCGATTTTCCAGCACCCGCGACACGCAACGCGCCCGGAATCCATTGCGTAGCTAGTTACGGCCTTCTTTGGGGCGTCAAAGCTCGCGCCTTGCGATGGGCGTTGCGTGTCGTGCCGCGGACCGAAAATATCGCAAACAATTCGCATAGATTTTGCGGAAACCGCGACACGCGACGCGACAAGTCCTCCCTCTGCCTAAGCCATATTTGCTTTTTTTTAGCGAGGCAAAGCGTGCGCGTTGTGTGTCGCGGAAAAATCTGAACGGGCGAAAAACGAACCCTGGCCCTGACTCCTCCATCATCCTTCAATCGTCTCATCGCTGATGCAAATGGCCCTAACCTGCCCATCCATGTCGAATGTTTTGGCGATTCTCGATCGATAATCAACCTAAATAAACACTATAAAGATGTATTATAGCGCCATTGTCATTCTTACGACAAAGGTATCGATTAAACAAGCTTACTTTTGCACATCGGGTATCGTAATCTTCCATTGTGCCTTTGTCTCGTTCACTCGTCTGGCCAAATCGAGTGCCCGACTCTCGCGGACCATGATATCGGCAAATTGGTCAAAACCCGTGGCCGCCTTCCAGAAATCGAGCTAAAAACATGCTTAAAGGGATGCCGACGGCATAGTCAATCGGTTACGCGCGGAAAAGAAAATGTCCCTGCGTCTCTCCTCTGGGCGCGCTCTCTGCCCTGTTGGCTACTTGCCAATTTGTTGATGAGGGGGGATCGACACATGCCGTCGGCAGCCCTTTAATACGCTTAAAGGTACACTAAACCAAAGCCTCATTGGTTTGTTTGCCAGCCGGTGACCGTCCGCGAAATAGCAAACAAGGTTACGGTGGGTGCTCGCCGCGGAGCAAAACCGAACCCGGGCCGCTCGCCGCGCTTTAGACCACTAGGCCATGGGACAGACGGTAGAGGGGAGAGGGAAGGGGGATAAGAAGGGTCCGGGCGTTGCGCGGCAGAGGGCCAGGTTTCCGACCGCGAACTGACTTTTTGCACGAGCTTTTAGTGTACCTTTAAGAGTATTTTAATGTTTTAGAGTCTTAAGTGGTTAAATTTAAAATTCAAAACGAAAAGCACACAAACCTCATACTCGTGTGATTTCATGTAAAGCAAATTCAGCGCCGCCAATTGATCGGTGGTGTTTGGGAAAATTCGAAAGACGAGGTGTTTTCTGAAATTGGAAAGTTTTTGTTTTCGCCTTTCCTGTCTCTTTCAATAAAACTTACTCATAATTTTTAGGTGGGTTGGCGAAGCGATCTTCACGGGAAGCGGAAGAAAATGTGAGGAGGGCCACGAGCAGCCATAGTCCAATTGGACCCATCAAATAAAAGAAAAGACGCCTGAAAAAACGACATAGATACAACAATAATGAGAAAACACGATTAGAAGCAAAATATACGAAAATCAAAAACCTTCAAAAAATTGTGGACTATGAGAAAATAGTTAAATTTCGACAAAGCGTAGGAAAACAAGCAAAAATGGATCGCTTACTTCCAATCCTACGCCTAAGCCTATAGCTAAGCTAATCAAACCTAAGCCTAAGCCTAAGCCCAAGCCGAGTTTACGCCAATCCTAAGGCCATCGAAAGCTCAGCCCAGATTTTGGATCCAGACACCCCCAAAATGCCATTCCCCCAATTTCCCAGGATTTTCGGCGAATCGAAAAAGGAAATACTACCGCAGACGCGAAAAGCCTACCCGAAAAAATGGGAAGAAGGGAGGACTGCAATCCCGAGAAATGGCAATGAAATGAGAATAGAAATGTGGAACAGTGAGGGAGAGAGAGAGGGAGAGAGAGAGAGAGCGAGAGAGACAGACAGACCGATAACTGGTATTTCTATCTGCAGGGGGGGGGAAGCAAATCGCATGATCTTACCCGGGGGAACGGTGCCGCTCAACCGAACACCCAGTTGATTTTTTAGAGCATGAGAGACAGCAAAAACGAGATAAAAAAAGTGATTTCTTTAGCGTCTGGCATTACTGTAGTCTTCAAAAAATTGTAAAAAAGGTTAAGGAAAATAAAACGCAACAAGCGTTTTTAAAGCCGTTTTTTAAAGAAAGAGCCCAATTCATTACGTCATGAAAAGAAAATCCAGAGGGACTGCCTAGTTCGACCCCTTTAAAGTTGTATTTCGACGACCCCACCAGAACTCACAATTGGCAATATTCTGCACACAAAATCCATAACCATGCCCTGGCCAGCCCCTTAAAATGCCTATCCCAAAACACCTATTCGAATTTTCGAGCTTCCAGTGCCACTGAGCGTTCATGGGAAAGTGTCGTTAATCGGTGTGCCGGATCTAGACCGGGGGCTGGCGGGAAGAGACCGCAATCGGGGAAAGAAGAAAAACTTGGAATGACATCTAGCCCGCTAGATCGTGGATCGAGGCTTCCTCGAAGCTCCGAAATCCACCCGGCTGCCCGGCTACCGTCCAAGTTTAGGGAGGAAAAGAAAAACATGCAACAGCTGAGCGAGTGGCTGATTCGCTTTAGCCGTTCCACTTGATCCTATTAACGGGAAAGGGAAGAGCATGGGAAAATTCCTAAAGCATATTGGCTAGATTGCCAAGCTGGAATCGAGCCAGATCGCCAAAAAAATCTGAACTTCTTCAAAAACAATGCTCGATCCCCTTAAAGAGCCCTGCAAGTCAAAACGCCTAAAAACCAGAAAGGAGATTTGATAGAAAGCAAAAATAAGAATAACTATAAAAAAATCAGAAAACTGAATAATTAACGTATCTGACCCCCAAAACTCCTCAAAAATCTCTGCTAGCCACTTTTAAAGGGACGTGCAAGCCAAAATCCATAAGAATCAGAGTGTGAATAAGCGAAATAAGTGTTTCCTAAATGATTTTTGCAAAATCGCCGCTAAGCAGAAGGACCGTAGAAGCCAAAAATCCATAAGCAACGACGTGCGAATGAGTCAAATAAGGGATATTTAATGACGGTTTGCAGGATAGCAGCTACAAAAACGAAAAATTCGAAAATCTCGTCAGAAATCCCTGCTAGCCCCCTCTAAAGTACCATAGAATGCAAAAATCCTTAAGTAATCCCGTGAGAATGAGCTAAATTATTGGCGAGAGTGGCTGTCTGCCTCTGCCATGGCGTGCGTAGGCGTGCAATGGAATGCCATCCCCCCTTTCTTTCCCGATTTCGCCCCCCTTTCTGCTGTCTGATCTAATGAGCCGAGTCGAGGGGGGCAAAAGCTTTCGTTTCACAGGGGGGTTTGAGATCTGACCTTGAAGAGACAAGAGAAGAGGAGAGCTACGGATCATTCCTATTCCCACTCTCAGCCCCAGCATCACCCTAAAAAATCAGCCAACCCATTCGTCACGTCGAGAATTCGCGCAATACCCGAAAAATGTGAAAAATCTCCAGAAAAATGGTTATCTTGGGTTTAAGCCGGCTAAAACTGGTTAAGATTTAATAAATACAAAGCATCTACCCAAAAAGACGCTGAAAAGCGAAAATGTTTGAATTGCACAGTTTCCAAACGAGTTTAGGAGCGTAGTCAAACTCTCGCAACGCACAACTACTGTGTACTCTCTGCGTTCTTTGGAGCACAACGTAGCCCGGCGTTCGGCAACGCGATGTTCCGATGTACGCGCTACTGCTAACCTTCTTCGGAGCATTACGTAATCAAGCTCTAGCTACGCGACGCTCCTAGCTAAACGCTACTCCTAACATTATTTGGAGCATTACGTGTTCAGACTCTGGAAACGTGATGCACCTATATACACGCGGGTCGTGACGTTTTTTAGGAGGATTGCGTAGCCCAACTTTCTACGACCCGAAGATCCTATGTACACACACCTTGTAACCCGACCAAAAACTTGATTTTTGTTATCGAGTTTTCTTTAAAAGTAGCTGTAGCTGACTTTAAGCTATGAAAATCGAGTCTAGCCTGGCCAAGGTCTTACAGCTAAAAACGAAATTTACAAAACGCATCTAGCAGCGCTTTGGAAAATAAAAAACGTGCTTAATCTGCGGGAATCTTTGAAACAATGAGTCTAGCGGATAACCGAGAGAGATATCGTTTTTGGCTGCGAACAAAGGGGTGGATGAATGGGTATGAATGTGTGAGTGATATCTCTGAAATCTCACTCAAGGACATTTGTCCTTTTTTGGAGTGAATTCTCGTCTTCCCGCCCCATAAACCCCCAGGTCTGAAAAATGGTTGGCGTCATTTTTTCGATCTCGAAAAGCTCGCGAGATAATGGAAATTGAAGCGAAAAACTTAAAGTTGTGAAAAGCTAGATGATTTGCGGGCTTTTCCCCTTTTGCTTTAAACCTTTCCCATGATCGGGTAAGAATGTTGTAAGAAAACTGGTGAAAGTGTCGCGAGCGCGGAGTGACTAAAATGTTGTCAATTGAATTGGCGAGCAGCGAAGGGGAGCAGGAAATTGGAAAGTGCAAAAAACTGATGCTGCCGCTTTAAAATGAATAAGCCTAAAATCCACGCCAAGGATGGTGGCCTAGTGGTTAGCACTCTGGGCTGTCGTTCCAAGGGTCGAGGGTTCGATTCCTAGGTCATAGGAAATTTTTTGCTTTTTGGAGGGAGGGGAGCTGACTGGATGCTTGAAGCGATACTACAAAAACTAAAGCGTGGCTATTTTTAGTTGTTGAGATATAGCTGTGTAAAGTTGTAAAAATTTAAAAAATTAACCAAAAAGTCATAAAATCAGCATTAAAAATCGTAATAAAATGGTATACTAAATAAACAATACAAGCTTGTGTAGGAAAAGTAGGGCAAAGACAAAGAGAGGGCAGAGAAACAGAGAAAAAAAGAGAAAAAGAGTGATAGCACAAAATTACTGGTTGTCTAGGGCGGCAACGGTGCTCGATACCACCCCGAAGACGACGAATGGCAATAAGAACAGGTCTCCGCCCATCTCTCTCTCTCTCTCTCTCTCTCTCTCTCTCTCTCTCTCTGTCTCTCTCTCTCTCTGTATCGGAGTGTGTAGATAATGAGCCAGATATCCTCTTCCCTCTTCCCGTTGTTCCCTTCTAAAAACACTCGACAAAAAGCCCGAATGGCAGCCAGTTTTCGCACCAATCCACGAACGGCACATCTGACGATAGATCTGGGGGGTAGATTAACGGACACCTAGCCATAGGCCAACCTCGGAAATTAGCATAAAACTAGGTAAAATCGTGAAAATGAATTTTGAAGTTAAAAACCCGACGGTTGTCAAATTTTTCTAGGCTCCGATTTTGGCAGGGGAAAAGAGAGGGAGAGCGAAGGTAAGAGAGAGACAGAGAGAGTGAGAGAGCGAGAGAGAGAAGAAGTTTAATCGAATACCGGCAGATTTGCATATCTAGAAAATTAGGATTTTTATACCACTTTTCCCATTTTCTACTCGCCTCATCCCGTTAAATGGTGTCCACGTTTTTCCAGGATTTCTCCTTTCTCGTCACCACAGGTTAGAGATAGCACTCTCGCTCTCTCATTCTCTCTCTCTCTCTCTCTCACTCTCTCTCTCTCTTTCCCTCGTTCTCCCTCTCTTTCTGTCTTTCTAACTCTTTTTTTTCTAGGCTTTCCCTTCTTCGTCGGCCTCTTTCTCACCCTTCAATGCGGCAAGAAGCGTCATGTCGAGGTCAGGGGTTCTTCTAAAGGGACGAGGAAGAAAGAGAATCGACCTCCTCGAGACCTAGTCAACCCAAGGGTCGATTCTAACACTACCGTATCTCCAATTACCACATTTTAGCCGGGCGGAAGCTATCGTGATGATGGTGTCTATGTCAGCCAAAAGTCGACAAAATCTGTCAAGTCGACCAAGTCGGCCAAGTCGGGCAAGCTAGCCAAGCCGACAAAGTCGCCGACCGCTGAGCGGATTCGGAAAGATATGTCGAATCGCGGTAAGCCAAGAAAAGCTAAGCGAAGCTACCGTGGCAATAGGTTCGGTGCGGAAACGCGAGAAACCGCCGCCACCTCCAGCCGATGCTGATCCATCATCTTCGAGGAGGTCGGTTTTAATTCTTTTTATGTTGAATTTAATCGTTCTATTGAGTTTTAAAATTGATGAAATGGTTCCCAAAAAATTTGTTGGTTTAGGAATCGCGTTCGTCGAGATGCCGATCCTACTCAAGATGTTGGTTGGATTAGAGAGAGAGAGAGAGAGAGAGAGAGAGAGAGAGAGAGAATGCGAGAGAGAATGCGAGAGAGCGAGAGCGAGAGAGGGTGTGAGAGAGTCATAGATAGAGAGCGAGAATGAGAGAGAGTGTGTGTGAGTGAGAGAGATATCTACACCTTCTAAATATTCAATTTTCTAGAGCGCCCGTTCCGAGAAGAAAAAAGGCGGCATCAGCCAACGCCTCGCTGAGCAGAAGATTGTGGTAAAAAATTCATCTTTCCCCCTGCAAAAACCAAGCCAACTCCAGAAATCCGTCAAGTCGGTGAAGTCGCAAAAGTCGGACAAGTCGAACAAGAGCCAAAAGTCGACCCGTAGCGACAAATCGGGCAGCTCGAAGTGGGTTTCCTTATTGCGCCCAGAATATCGATTTTTTTTTTAGGAAAAACAAGTCGGCAAAGGGCAAGAAGGTGGACACGTCCAATCGATCGGCTAAAGGACCGGTGAAGAGTGAGGTGGGTTTTACGCGCAGTTTTTAGCCCCTAGTTTTAGCCTTGCCAATCCTTTTAAAGGGACTGGCAAGGCAAGACTTCTAAGCTTTTGGCTATGGATTCCTTTAAACCCTTTTAAAACATTTTTCCAGAGCGGCAAGAGCAGCCGAAAAGCCAAGAAAAGCCAGAAGAGCCAGAAGAAGCCGGAGGGGTCGAGTCGTCGCAAAATATTCAGCCTGAAAAAGGTAAAAATTTCTGTTTTTTTATTTTGTAGTTTTGTCTCCACCCAAAATCACGGTTTCTAAATGGCGGGAAGGTTGCCCCGAAAAAAGCCTGCCTGCCTTTTTGTAGCAGCATCGGTTAAAGCTCTTGTTTTTATAGCGTAATCGATTAAACCTTAGTTTGCACCGCATAATATTTTAGGAGTATTTTTGTAGCCTAATCGATTAGCCCGAGATTTTCCTATAGTAACCGGTTTACGTTCTCGAAATTGGGCAATCTTCCCGCACCATTTCAGCCGCCACCTGCCGTACCCCTCGTCCCCGCCGAGCACACCGACCAAACACAATCACCAATCACTGAACAAACACAACAAGACGACCAACAGCCGGAGATGAACATCAACTTCGACAAGCCACAAAAGCCACTCGGCCTCGCTTCACTTTTGCGGGCTTATCGAAGCGAAAAGGAAGCCGGATTTGGAGTTGAGCCCACCCAGAAAGAAGCGCCCGTTCGAGCTGCACAACTTGGAGCAGTTCAGCAAGCTCAGGCTCAACGCGTTCAAGCTGCTCCTGAAGATCTTCCGCAAGCTCGAGTTGAAGCTCCTCTACGTGCTCCCCAAGCCCTATCGATGCTTAAGCCGTCTGAAACCAAACCCAAAGCTCAGAAAATCACCCCCAAAAAGCAAGCACTAGAAGCGAAGGAGAAGCCGAAAAGGAAAGGCTTTTTTGGAGGGATATTTGGAGGGAAAAAGGAGAAAAAAAAGGAGAAGACACCGAAGAAGAAGAAGACCAGCGACAGCAAGGAGGCATCCAAGGTTTGTGCTTATTTTTTCCTAAAAATTAACCTAAAACCTTAAATATCCTACTATATATAAAAAAATAGTGTCTGTGTGTGTGTATGTGTGTGCATTTGCATGCAACTTCCGTCAGCGTGTTCCAGCAGTATCTCAATAAGGGGAGTAGTTAGGGGTATGTTTTATACGTCATTAGGTGCGTAATGGCCTTGGGATGACTGCACACTTATAAAATTTTCAAAAATTCGCTGTTTTCGACGTTAAACTTAAGCTTTTTGTTGAAAAACCGAACAGCCTCTTTGTTAGGAAAAATTAACATATGCCGGAAGTTGCGGTAGCTTATGTAAGAGATGAGAGCTGGCGTTTCTCATTTTTTTTGTCATAGAAAATCGCGAGAATTATGCAAAGTGAAGCATATCATGGGATCAGACGGGGCCAGGGTTGAAAAGCCGCTTCGCGAAGCGGCTTTTCAACCCTGGTATAGGTTTAATCATATTTTTGTCGGAAGATTCGACATTTTTGAATTTTTTAGCAAAACAGAGCTATTTCGAATCCTTATCGTTGCCTTGCCAGCTCCTTTAACCCATGTTTTTCAGGAAAAGCCCGCCTCCAAGAAGCAGAAAAAAGCCAAAGCCCCAAAACCCACCAAAACGGAGCAAAACCCGAAAAACCGGAAGTCGGATGAAGTCGTCAAGTCGTCGTCCGGCAAGAGGATGGCTGCCGTTGTCGCCTAAAAGACAGAAAGACACACAAACAGACAGACAGGTTTCATCGATTAAATTATTATTTATTATTGGTTTTATTGATTTTGGGTGGAGACAAAACTAAACTCGTTACAGTGTAAAATTCTTGTCTAATTTTTACATTTTTCAGAAAAAGAAGTGATCGGCCGCCTGTTCTCTCTCTGGCTCTCTCGTGCTCTCTCGCTTTCTCGCCATTCCACTCGACAATATGCTAATTTTTCTGGGTCTCCAATTGAATAAAGCGTTTCCTTGGCTGATTCATCGAATTTTATTTGTATTTTATGCTGTTTTTAGAAATTTTAGTTGCTATAAAGTTATAAACCACTTTAAAAATGTCAAAAATTGAAAAATCGGGGATTTTGGTTTTTTTAACACATTTTTTAAGAAATGTCCAAACTTTTCTATCCCTTTTCCATATATAAAATTGCGTAAAATGCTATAAAAGAGTTCATGTTTCGCTATATATTTTCGGTGAAAAATTGTCCCCCCACGCTATCAGCTCAGTGCCGGTAACCCTAGGTGCATTGGTAAAGCTCTCGTTTCGTAATCTCAGGGTCCCGGTTCGACCCCCACCGGCAACATTTTTGTTTTGCTTTTTGCCCACTATCATCTTCAGTTGATGACAATTACCCCCAAATCAGCGAATTTCACGCGTGACCGCGCAGCGGGGCTACTGATAGCCCTTCGTGCGCCGCGGAAGGGTAGATCCGATCTTTTTTCGTCTGCCTACACTGTCGAAAAGTCTATGTAACGTAATTTTTAACTTGTTTTAGTGTAATATTTTATTGTTAGGCCGTCTATCTGTCAATAATCAGCTGATAATGTCTCGCTTTAGCCTCGAGACGCTCGTTTTATCATTAAAAAACGGGTTTCCCGCGAATTTCCGAAATTCCGCCCTGATCCTGTCGACGTTCATTGCTTGTCACGCAAATTGAGCATTGACAGATTGATGAGAATTGGCAGGAATGGGGGGGGGGGTACTGTAGCTTTTCTCTCTCTCTCTCTCTCGCTCTCTTTCTCTCTCTCTCTCTCTCTCTCGCTCTCTTTCTCTCTCTCTCTCTTTCTCTCTCGCTCTCTTTCTCTCTCTCTCTTTCTCTCTCAATTCGACAGTATTGTCGCGGAACCGCCTTCTACAGTCATTTCCTTACTTTTATAGCTTTCTGTTCTTGACTCCGTTTCTCTCCGTCTCCCTCTCTCTCTCCATCTCGCTCGCTCTCTCTCTCCCTCATTCTGTGGTTAATTACCCAGAGGCGTGGCTTATCATCATCCCCTCGAGGCTCATGCTCCCCTAATCGCCTGCATGGAACCCTAAAAAGCGCCCTATCTGGATCATTGAGCAGTCGGGATTTTTGGAACACTCTGATCCAGCTGGCACTATCCCTTTAAAACGGTAATATTATGACTTTTTGGGCTAGAAGGCAAGCTAGCCGAGATTTTTTGGGAATTCGGATTCTATTTGTATTACGTTTCATCGCTTGCAGGGTGGGCAGGCTAGCAGCGGTTCTTGCGGAATCTCGCTCGCTCTCCCTCGCGCTCTACCTCTCACTGTATCGCACTTGATCGGTCCCTCTCTCTCTCTCTCTCGCTCTCTCGTTTGCACTTGTTCTCTCGTTCTCGCTCTAACTAGCACTCTCCTTCTCCCCTCTTTCTCACTGTATCAATCTCTAGCACTTTCTGATTCTCCTGCTTTCTCTCTCTCTCTGGCTTTCTCTCTCTTTCTCTATCGCTCTCCCTCTCTCTCTCTCACTGTCTCGCTTGTTTTCTTTCGTCTGCTTTCGCAAGGCAAGCTAGCAGAGATTCATTGGGGTCCGACCTGACCGCACGCCCCCGGTCCAATTTTCCTCTTTTGTTACGGTCCCCTCCCTGTGGGTGGGTGTTGTGATTAATGATGTTGTTTGCTATAATGTGTTCCCCTGTTTAGGAATGACCCTTCCTTTCCCTTCTCCCTCTAAAGATCTAATCCATAGCCTCTTGCTCCCCCCACCCGGTCAGATCTCCTCCCGAAATCTTCGCACTCCACTTTCCGAATTGTTCCACCCTCTCTCGTGGCTCTCCACCAATATATACCCCCAGGCGATAGGTTTCACTCCTTAATATGATTCTAAGTTTAATTAGAGGGTGAAATTGGAAAATTATAGGCTTAGTCTGGCTTAGGCTTGGCTTAGGCTTGGCTTGGCTTGGCTTAGGCTTAGGCTTAGGTTTAGACTTCGGTGAGGCTTAGGCTTGGCTTAGGCTTAGGCTTAGCTTAGGCGTGGCTTAGGCTTGGCGCTTAGGCTTAGGCTTAAGCGTGGATAACGCTTAAGCCGAAGCTTAGACGTCGGTGAGGCTTAGGCTGAAGCTCAACCTCGATCTTAAAATTTTCCTGCTTTCTCAGTCCCTTTAAAACCCCCGATTCCTTGATCTTTAGCCAACCGCCTCTGGGTATTTATTATATGCTTCTCCCCACCCTCCCCCACCTCTACAAGGTCCTCACATCCCCCACAAAATTACTAGCTCGTGCTCACCTCAAAAATTCCGCTCTATTCCGCCCCATTACCGCGCTCCGTCAGTGGTCGCGTCTTGTACACCCGTCAAGTTGTATTTTCGGGATTCTCCTACAATTTTTAGACTTCCCGGTCCCGTTAAAAGCTAGAAATTCCGTTCCATTCCGACATTTCCCCACGTCCGTCAGTTGTAGCGGCTTGTACGCTCCGTACAGGACGTCAATCGTTTTTCGTACAATCGTTTTTTCGTTGTTTTTCTAGGGTTTTTTGACTTCCCGTTCCCTTTAAAAGCTAAAAATTCCGTTTCATTCCGACATTCGCTCCACTCCGTCAGTTGTAGCGCCTTGTACTCAACCCGAAAACATCTATTGTTTTCGCCAAGCCCTGCCCTTTTTTGGGGATCGATTACCGGTTCTTCTTTTTTTGGCAGAGTTAGGAAATTTGGGCTCGCGTTTTCTAGCCTTAAATTTGCATAATGTGGTACTACTGCAGGCTCCAAAAATGTATTTTTTGGATGTCCTGACGCCTCTGAAACCCAAAAAAAAAATTTTTTGAAATTTCTGGGAATAAATATCTCTCGCCCTGTAAAATTAAAAAAAAACTCAATTTTTTTGTGAATTTGGCCGTAATTTAATCACTTCTGTGACTTCAAATGGAGAAAAATCAAGTCTTGCATTTTCATGCGTTTGAGCGTTTGCTGGACTTAATTGGTCCTTTGCAAAAAAAAGGATTAAATAATGATTTATTTTCGGTTTTGCTGGTTTATTGGCTACAGTGGCTGGGTTAGGCTTAGGCTGAGGCTTGGCTTAGACTCAGGCTTAAAAACAGCAAAAATTAGCGCCATAGAAATCAGTTGAATCGATAGCTATTAGTCACATTTTCCTTGCATTAATCAGAGAAAATATATTTCAAGAATTCCTTGCTTTTTTGTGATTTTTAAACGATTTGCAGACTTCACCAGGCCCTTAAAAAATTATTAAATTATTTCTGATATTTTCGGCTTTTAGATTCGATTTCTTTATCTTTTTCACATTTTTCAGTGGCTTCCAAACTTGCTGGGCCCTTTAAAACAAAAAAATGCAATATTGTAATTTATATCTGATTTTAGTATTGCCGGATGGTGGTTGAGCGGGCGGATCCACAGCAGCGACTCCCACTTCTCATCGGCGGAAAGGAGCATATGGTGCGTGAATAGGAGTACGGTAGATGGGCCCCCTTTCAGGGGTGAAAATTTTAAATGGGTCGCGAACCCCAAAAAATGCAATAAAACCCACGGATTTCAGCCTTCCCTACCCCTTTAAAAACTCAGCCTTGACTGTGAATCCGCTAAAATGCGCCCTGTCATGCCTACAAGCCACCAATTTCACCCCCCGGGCTGCGGTCGACCTTGATGAGAGAGAGGGAGTGGGAGAGAGAGAGAGAGAGAGAGAGAGAGACGAGGGAGAGAGAATTAAAGACTACAAAGGATTCCCCCGTCTTACTCTCCCTAAATATTTATCACTGTCCGCCTTGGTGACCTCCTTTTCTTCACACCCAACCAGTCACCCTCCCCCCTTTCAAGCCCATTTTAAAGGCACCGGTAAGAATCGTGAATTTTCTCAAGGATCCCTGCTAGCTTGCCCTAGTTGCAAAATGTGCTATCCTCAAGGATTTCCTAGCCTTCCTACTTGCTGCGTGATTTCCTCAAAAATCCCTGCCAGCTTGCCTTTGCATTTTCCTCAAGAACCCCTGCTAGGCGTTTGAAAATTCCTCAAAGATCTCTCCTAGCTTGCCGCTGCTGTAATTCCTGCAAAATTCCTGCTAGCTCGCTTTCGAATTTTCCTGAAGAATGCCTGCTAGACATTCAAATTTTCCTAAAAGGTCGTTGCTAGATGGCCTTCAGATTTTCTCTGATTTCCTCAAACAAATTTGTTAGCTAGACTTCTAGACTAAATCCTCAAATCTCTGCTAGCTTACCATTTAATTTCCTAAATTCCTCAAAGACCTCTGCTAGCTTTCCGGTACTGTAATTCCTCAAGAATCCCTGCTAAAGCTTGGCAATTTCTACAAAGATCCCTGATAGTCTCTTAAGTTTTCTCAAAATCCTTAAGAAAGCCGTCAGCTTTTCCTCAATCTCGATCTCTGCTAGCTGACCTAGCTGTTTGAATCTTTTCTTTCCCCAAGAATCACTGCTAGCTTGCCTTTGGCATTGTCGATTACCTGAAAAATTTTTGAGGTTTCTGGTTCTTTTTGTGATTTCCTCAAGGATTCCTGCTAGCTTTTCGTCCACATGTTTCCCAAAAAATCTCTGCTAGTCTGCCTCCATAAACCCCGCCAAATCGTTTCGATTAGCACCTTCACACCAGACACCCCAGATCTGCCAGAAATGGGATTTGCATTGGAGAGAGAGAGAGAGAGAGAGAGAGACATAGAGTGAGAGAGAGAAGGGCAGATATGCAAGGTTTCCTAATGCCATTCACAAATCCATTGGCGGGACGGAGAGCTCTTGTGATCTAGAAAGCCGGT